GAAGAGCGTTGGGGCAGCTTTACTCAGGACAGCAACGTACTTGACGAGGCCGGCGCTCTGCCCGTGCGAGACCGCAGTGTCATATTCCTTTTGAGCAGAAGCTTTCTCCTTTATTATTCCTGGGTATACTTTACCATCGATGGACCTGTTTGGTTTCCATAAAAATTAATTAATATTAGAAGGAGAACACTGGGGAAAGAAACAAGAGGAACGCTGCACTTAGTGGCCCTCGGGGCATGAGCAGGGGACACTGTTTGCCTCACACATCCCTCCTTGTCCAGGAGGACGCCAGAAGCCACCACCACAACACAGCCCTCCTCCTTGCTGGGTCTCAAGGAGGCTGGAGCAGGAGGAACACCACCACCGAGCATGTTTGTCACCCACCCTGTGCAGCAGGCAGCCTTGCCCTGGCCACCTATTTGGCTGCCTACTACTTTGCCCCACAGAGCATTTTGTGCAGGACCCTCCAGAGCTCAGCTTTGTGCTTTTCACTCAGCACCTCCTGAGAAGAAAGATGAACCCCCCCCAGCCCTCAGAGCTGCCGCCTTCACACCACAGGTAAGGACTGGTCCCACATGGAGAAGTTGGTGATGAAAGCCGTCTTGGGTAGCTCCACTTCAAAGGTTGCCTCTCTGGAGTCATTAGCTCTGTTGACAATTTTGCTGGTGATGATGGTGTGAGCAAACCGTGACGTGACCTTGCAGTCCACATGGAGGCTGTAGATTTCAATAGCATGCTGGAAAAAAAAATAAACAGGCTGAAACAGAAACACTCAATTTTTGGTCTTGAGCAGTCCTTACCTGGGTCACGTTACTGGAAAAGTTTGATGAAGGAATGACCTGTTCAAAGGTCCGGCCAGAACTGGAGAGACGGAATTGTTCATGACCAGACTGGCCGTCTGCTTATTCACATCTCTGCAGCTGCGACCCCAGCCCCACACAAAACCTGCAGCTACACTTGCGTGTTTTCCTTCCACGGAAGGCTTCTGTCAAGCCTTTTGCTGTGGTCTTCTCTTCTCAGGTTACTCTGAAGCAGCTGCTGTGTCACCCCAATACATCACCTAAGACCAACCTCAGAAAAATCAGATGCCTCTTTAAGCACTCGACCCATGGAAAGAGACCTGCTAGTTTTTTGCATGACTATTTATTTGCTCTCCCAGCTGTTGACTTTGCTGCATGTTTTTCAGCTCGGTGCCTTGTGTCACACATGATAGCAGGTTTGAAACCCCGTGTGGGCCTCCAACCCCTTGCTGGTTGCACAAGCAGGGATGCCCTTTGAGCGCTTGTGTTTCTCCTGGTCTGGTGCTTCCAGGGCCCCTGACGCTTGAGGGAGGAGGGCACCGTCACAGAGCTGCCCGGGAATACCCCATGGAGCAGCTGGACTGGGAATTGCCTGGAGCACCTGCCTCTGTAAACACCCTCCTTTTGCATTTGGGATGTCTGTTTTACAGGTGCTACCTGTGTTTCAGCAGTGACGCTAAGAAGGGTCGATCTGGACATTGCCAGGCTCACAATAGTCCAATAGTTTATTAAAATAAAAAAGCTCAGCATCAAAGCAGATCATTGCACTTCTATTTTTACTTTTCCAGCCTCACAAGTCTTTTGATGGCTAATTGATCTTTAGATATTTTGTTAATTCATTTCCTGTACTTTGCTCACCAAATAGCATCCACTGGCCTCTTCTTAGTTAGGGCATTGGCCACAATTCAAAAGTTTAATCAAGCTAAACATGGCCATTCAATACAAAGCTGTGACCACAGCTTTGTGCTTGGGCATCAGGGCAGGAGGTGCCAGCCAACGCCATCTGAGTAACGGATGGCTGTTTCCTTTTTCATTATATGTTGCCAGAGCGTGCTCTATCCCCTGATGCCTACTGACAATCCAGGACAACGGGATAAAACCCCAAACTATTCATCGAGAGAACAATTTCCCGATCCTGGCAGTTCGGGTGCCTCTCCCTGCTGCTCACCCTGAGCTGGAGCTCTCCCTGCCCACGCTGGGACCGTCCCTCCTGGGGGCATCTCTTCCCAAAGGCTTTCTGAGTATCCCTAAGCACCTCCGCTCACGTTCGCTGCCCTGCCATGCTCAAACCCACAGCACGTTCAGAGGGGAGGTTTTGCCACGACCGAGGAGCCCCGAGCCGTGGCTCATTAGGGCAGCACAGGCACATGGTGGCCATCGCTGCCCACGGAGCATCCTTGCAGCACAGGAGGAGCCTGCCCCGTGCAGAACTTACCCTGTGCAAAATCCACCCCGCCGCCACGTGCCGAAGGGACGCTGCGGGGATGAGGGGAGAGGGACCTGCATGCCCTGGGCTTGCACCGCCCCAGCAGCATTTTAGGCTGTGGCCAGCACAAACAAGCACGCAGCAGGATGCAGCACGGCGAGGGGCATCGCTGTGCCGTTAGCGAAGGGGGCAGGAGAGGAGCAGCCCCAGGTGTGTACCCAAAAGCAGCAGGGAGCAATCTGTGGCTGCTCCCCAAGGCACCGCAGGCCCATACACAACATCCACGGCTTCTTGCAGAGCCCTCGGCCACCCCTGCAGCAGCCACAGGACCCGTCCCTGCCTCCCAGAAACCCGCCTGCGTTTCAGTTGCGTTTCACACTTTTCTGAATAGCACGATGTAAAAAAAAAAACTTCAAACATAAGGCTTCCTCCATTTCTCCAAAACTGATGTTTTTAAAATAAGACCAGTGACATGCACCCCGAGATGTTAAAAAACACAGTTTGCTCCTCCAGACAGCACAAATAACTGGCTACTCCCCTCTTTTCCATACTATATAAATTACTAAATGCCTGTCAGAAATCACCTGGCACTGCAAGGGTCCTCATTTGGTCCTGCTGTAACGGCACTGCGTCACAATCCAAACCTCATCCGGTGGCTGAGGGAGACCCATTGGTCCCTCAAATTTGATATTTTAACATCCCTAGGGAAGACCATGATCAGACACGCCTGCAAACGCTCTCCCGCCACTTTTATACTGTAACAGCCCAAACAACCAACCCAAAAGGCCTTAAAAGGACCCAGAGCTCTGAAATCACGACACAATATACCCGAAGCTCCACAGGTGGTGGTTACCAGAAGTCACCTGCGTTACCTGGCCGGCTACCATCAGGTCACCAAATAAGCAAACAAGATATTGTTTAAAAAAAAAAAAATAAATAGAGCAAATACCTTTTGAGCAATAGTTTCTGCTAATACTATGAGTGAGGAAAAGACCATCAATGTAAGCAACGTTCTCGCCTCCATTTTGGAAATACCAGATTTTCAAATGAAAACTCAGTTTATCTTAACCCGTTAATGAGTAACTTGTACTTGGGGATATTATGTAGACTTTAAAGAGACCCAGAAACTTAATATTTACATGTTAAACATAGGTAAAACTTGAACTTGGTTAACATTTATTTTTCCAACAGATCTTTGCTGTTAAGCATTAGAATTTTAATGTTTAATAATCCATAAAGTTATTAAATCCTACGTTTTCTTTTTAAACTTAGACCTCACCGTGGCACGCGAAATCCCACAGGCAGATCAACTACTCTGTGCAACAAGCTGCATTTTTTTGATGAATGAACCTCTACCATATCCTACAGTAATAATTTGAAAGGGCACATCCTTAACGTTACCTCAAGCACTTCAGAGATTGGGAGATTGCCAAGACATGCAACATTCATGTGAGATTTTACAGCGGGTGGCTTCTTCAAACCTTGTGCCTCCTTGCCCAACCGGCCCATGAGAGGTATGGAGCGGCCGTCTCAAAACATCCCTTTTTGCTTGATCCTTTTTGCTTTTCTCCACCTCAGAGAAAGGATCTAAATCCACCATCACAACAGGAGATATTTTTGAGTGCAAAATGACCTAAAAACTCAAACCCTGAGGCTTTGTTCAGGCACTTCTCTGTCAGTATTCCTCATTACGAAAGTGACGGGAAAAAAGGAAGAAAACACATTTTCCATGACTGGACTTAATAGATCCGCAAGGATGAAGAAGATGACAAAAATTTCTTCTGGCAGCTTTATATCCATTCCTCTCATCTACAAGTATCTCCTGTCCTGCAGCAGCAGCCAGTAACTGTTCCAGCATGGCAGCAAGGCTGGGGACAGGGAGAGGATTCCTGCAATTCATGCAGGAGAGCAGAGACCTCACTGTCACAAATGGGGAACAACTTTGTCCCAGGGATACACTTTTACCTCCAATGCATATTTTTCCAATGAGGTCAATCTTAAAAGACAGAAAAAGAGATCCCTGGTCTTGAGCACTTACTGTCACGCTGGGAAGCATCACAAATAACTGAACCTGAAGACATCCTGGATATGAAGCTGTTAGCAAAATCCCAAGTTTCTTGTAGATAACTTTGATTCCCTGCTGCATCTGTGCTGCAAGTCTGTGGGACACAAGAGGTTTCTGTGCTTTGCTAAATCGCCACCAACATAGCTGAAGCCGGGCCTGAAATACAGCCTCCAGCCCCCCTCCTGTTACCCAGTCTAGCAAATTTGCAATATTCAGTCACTTGTAGCGTGTAAAAAGAAAAGGATAACAACATTTTGCTCCACTTGTCCCTCTCCATCGTTTTTCTAATTATTAAACAACCTCCTGCCAACTTTTCATCACAGATTAATTAAGGAGGGCTTGTTAAACCTCATGCAAGGACAGTTCTGGAGTTACCGGAGTGAGAACCTTTTTCCACAATGGTGGTTGGTTTTTGGTGGGGTTTTTTTTTTTTTTTTTGGTCTTGTTTTTTACCTTCAAAGCATGGCAAGAGTCCTTCTCAGGGGAAAAGGGGCTCTGCTGAGTTACCTGTGCCAGGGCCCACAGATAAACAGCGACCAGCTGAGAGAGGAGGCAGGGTCTTGGCTGCAAGTAACACCACCAGCAGTATCTTTTTTATTTTTTTTTTTTAAGGAAATCTCCCCCTTAAGCCCAAAGGATTTGCTGCTGCCTTGCACGTGTCCTGCTCTGCAGTCTCTCTGGGAGCTTGGTGGACATCGGCAGGTTTTATCCATGAAATGTTTGGGACACAAAAGGCAAAGGTGAAATTCTTCACAGTGCACAGACACCTTCAATACCAATTTCACCTCTTAATCAGGTCTAGCCTGTGCAAAATTAAAGTAATTCTTTAAATAAAGGCGGCACCTACCTTACTGTCCGCGGATGTGCTGCACGGCGTGTGAAAAGCACGGAAGGTACAACAAAGCAGATCATCTGCGTTTAAACACAAAGATCCAGCTGAGGGGAAATACTCCAGGTTATAACCTCAGGGAAGTTCGCTGTTTAATGCAACAAATCAAGATTTAAAGAGAGTTGCAGAAAAACTTTCCACTCAGAGTGGAGTGGAAGCGGACAGAGACGCCCAGCAGGTTGTTCAGCTCCTCAGTCTGGCAGGACATGGCTGCCGGTCTGTCCTCCCACTTCTACTTGACCCCAAGGCCATGAGGAAAAAGCTGCTGGGGAACGGGCTGGAAGCCTTCCCTCGGCGCCGGGGAGGACCGACAGCATGGCACCTTGCCTCCCGGCAGAGCCACGCCTGGGGAAACGAGGGGGCTGCTGCCCGCGGCCTGTGAGGGAGCCGTGAGGGGGGAGCCATGACAGGAAGGCTGTGACAGGGGAGCCGTGAGGGGGAGGTATGAGGAGAGGGCCGTGACGGGGTAAGATATGAGGGGAAGGCCGTGAGGGGGGAGACGTTAGAGGGGAGCTCAGAGGGAAGAGCCATGAGGGGAGGGCGGTGACAGGGCAGCCATGAGGGGAAGGCCTCCGCCCATGGCACCCCCCAAGCCTGAGGGGCCCCCCCAGGGCACTGCTGGGATCAGCACAGATTTGGGTGAAGTCTCCAGGTTTCTGTGATGCCCCTTTGACTTGCTCCTCCTCAGCTACCCCACAGCATGAGGAAACTGCACTGATGCTAAAACTGTGTCATCTGGATGTTTATTCTTTGCATTTGACAGACTAGATCAGAGCTTGTCATGCCAAAGTGTCCATAGAATTAATCTAAGCCTAAATTGAAATTAGTCACCACAGTGTGCCAAGCTGTGTCCAATCTTTTTTTATTAAACCATTATAGCAAACACCATTCACATAGAAAGAAAGTAGGTAATAAAAATTAACATGGAAGTTGTACCCTCTGACGTGAGTCTATTCCCTACTTAATGACTTACAGTAGCTACTTCGATCTACAGTGAGTTTAATGTAAAGGGGCAGAAGTTTGGGAAGAAGTTTCAACAATCGTCTGGGTGAGACGCATGCAGCTCTGCCATCAGCCGAAGACGCTCTTGGCCGGCTCTTCTTTTGGTTTCTCAAAGACTGTTTCGCCACCGGTCCGATCCCGGCTGAAGATGGAAGGAGCTACAGAGCCCATTTGTTCTTGGGAAAGAAAACCAGGAAAGGCAATCAGTGAAGTAGCACACCAAATTCAGGGAGTAAAACCAGTGCTGCTAAAACATGTTTGATAAGTATTTCATCAGCCCATCAGCTTCCCAAACCTTAAAAGACAGCACTTCCATTCCAAGCACGGGGCGGCAGACAGCACCTGAAGGTGGCCACTACCATTGACTGGCCCTGAATCCCTGCAGGTGCTTTAGAAACTTGGAATCTGCCAAGGTCCAGGCTATCATGCTGAGAAAGGGTTAAAATTAATCATTTTTCTTTGGACTCTCCCACTAGTGGTGGAAAAGCAACACAAAACCAGAGCACCAGGAGTGTTCAGCACAAGCACCCAGTCTTTTCTCTCTCACCTTCTGTCCTTTATCTCCCCCCACTTGCTTTTCGTCTCAAACTCATCCAATTCATCCACCTGAGAGGTCAGAGGTCCCATCATCTATGACCAAGCCTCCAGTCTTCAACTTGGACAGCCACTGATGTTGACTGTGGGCCCAGAGCTTGGTTTGAACCCTGGTTCAGATGGCAAAGTCAGGGCTCTCCCTCCCACTTTGTCCAGACAGGGAGGACAAAGACTCCAAGCAGAGCCCTGCTGGCACCTCTTGGTGCCATCAAGACGGTGGATGCAAAGTCCCTGCACAGCCAGCGAGCACACTGCTGGCTGCTGTTTCAGAGGCACACCCTTTCACATGCAAAGAGCAATTAAGTCAGTGCTATACTTTGGAAAACTGCTTTATTGTTTCCATCATGGAGACTTACCACACTGCTTCATCACTTGGTAGGTTTTGGATTTAATTTCCTGGTTTTTGGAAAGGTTTCCTCTGGCTCCTTTGAGGTCTTCTTCCTTCACTGGAGGACGCTTCTTTTTCACAGGGGCTGGCTAAGAAACAGATGTAGTGCCCATGCATCAGCATTTCATGTTTAGAAGCACAGGGAACAAAGCGGCCTTAACATATAGAGGATGCCGATACAGTATTCCTCCTATTTCAGTTCTGAGACTGTGCACTCAGCTGCTCCAGATCTTTGCACAACCATGATTTCACTGCCCTTCCCAAAATCTGTTGCCACTATTACTGTTCTGTTCTGAAATTGTCTTCTGATTGTACAGCCTTTGAAAGAGACAGTGGATTGCTTTATTTTTTAATTTACTTTTAAATGTTTTCTGTCCAGGCCTGCCTGGCCCTTTCTGCAAGTACAAACTGGTAATTCAAGAATCTGTCCAATGTCTGGGAAGGGCAAAACAAACAACTTCATTACTAAGTTGTGCTTGTGCCTCAGTCTACTTGCTACTTTTTTAGGAAACTGGTCAGAGAGTTTCTGAAATCTGGCTTGATTTAGTTGGAATAAACTTAACACTTGACCCATAGTTATTGACCTTAAATTTAGGGAACAAATGTATCAGAGCAGTCAACATGGTTGCCTACGAGCACGAACCGAACACACCCAAAACACTGGCCTCAGAAACCAAAGAAGGAGAAGGAAATCCAATACAGAAACAGATGCATCATCAGGTGGTGCACTGCAACATCCGAGTACTAATCTGTTTACAGTTTATCTTGCGAGAAGAAAAATCAGGATAACATGGGATCATATCAGACTACCCCTGCCTTTAAATCGACACTTGCAAGTCAGACACATCGATGAGCAGCAGTCGGCACCATTAACATTCTCTCTTCAGTTTACTAGTTCAAGGACAGATTGCCAAGGTCCCACCAGACAAACCTCATGGCAGGGTGCAGGGGCACAGGAGATATTATTAAAAAGAATAAAAGACCCACAGACTCCAACTTTAACAGATTCACATACTGAACCATCAATGGGAAACTCCTCTGACCATCGCTACATACGTAGGGCTTCTGATATTTGGGTTCTGGCAGCAGTGGAGCCCACTTGTACTTTTCTAGGCACCGCCTGTAGAGCTAAAACAGTTGTGGAGGGAAACAAATCCCTCAATGCCTGCGAAGGGCTGGAGCAGCGAGTCCCAGGGAGCTTGCAGAGACAGCGTGCGCATGCCGGGCTCTCGGCAGGAGCAGGCTGGCTGCGCTGGAGCCTTCGGCATGTTTCCTGCTGGCTGTAAATTCCTGGGAACGCTCAGAATGGCTTGCTGTCAATCCCATTTGCATGTGTTGTGGGAAACAAAACATTCACAAGATCTCTGGGGAAAACACTCCATAAGTAGCCAAAGCAAGGAAGGGGGAAGGGTGGTAGCAAACCCTTCAAAATTCACAAGGGCTTTTAGTCAGTTAGGTGGTTAACCAAAGATCCCTACAGCCAGGATTTCATTGTCCCTCTGTAACGAGGACTGGCATATGACAGTCCCCCATGCCCATGGCATGGTCCACAGGTAGCCAACACAGGCCTGTGTTGGCTTCAGCAACCCCTTGTTTTGTTAACAGGAATATGAAAACTGCTAAGGTCTTTCACCCATTATTGGCAAGAGATAACTGCAAGGCTTCTTTCCACTGGGACAAGGGACTTCTTGGGGATGGGGTAAGGAAAGGAGGCACTTGAGATGCACCAAGACACAGCCAGGCTGAGCAGAAGTCTTAAATTTCACACAGTTATTTTGAAGCAAAACGTCTCATGCTTTCATTACAGGTGGATTTTCCAGCAGGAGAGTTGCTGTGGATTAGTTGGCCTCCAGCTAAAAAGCAAAAACGCCGCACAGAAAGGTTACTGTGAGCCACAGAAGTGAGCCCCGGACCTGCCAGCACCAGTAGCTGCCAGTGTCGCAGCTGCACGACTGCCAATTGCTCCCAGCACAAGTGCGTTTGTGAGCAGGGTTTGCCAGGAGCCATTCCCAGCTGGCACAGCAGTGCAGCCTGTGCTTAATCTCCTCCTGTCACAAGTCAAAAAGTGTTGGTTTACAAGACATATAACTGTTTAAGTGTCTTTTTCTCTGGACTAAAGAAAATAAGCTGAACTGAATTACTCCATGTGGTCAAAGGATTGGGCTCTTCTACCCTCCCCGTGTCCTGACTCTCCACCCCATCTACCACATAAAACTCTCATGCTGGGGAGAATTCTGCCAGGCACGCGTAGCTTGTGTTGAGAACACAGCACTTATGTGAAAACCTCAGAATTTCTAAGCTAACTTTAAGATCACTTTGAAACACTGATTTTTGGGGAACACAGTAAAGACAACCCATTAGTTACAAAATGAACATAGAAGTGTGCGATACAAAATTTCAGTCTCAAAAATTGTATCCTAATGGTTATAGTTTTCAGTCACGCACTCTCTTTTCCTGCACGTTAACACATTACGCTTTACATAGCAGCAGACTTTAGTATAGCCACGTCCTTTCAAAACTGCTGCCAAAATTTCATTCTCTGAGAAAGTGCATTGGAAAAGCAGAAATTGCTTCTTCTGTGAAACATCCCAGAGCAGAGCAGTGGAAATGTTTCTTCCCTTCCTACAGAAATAAAAGCATTCATGGCAAACCAGAACATTTAAAAACTAAATTAATTAGCCATGTAGAGGGCAGCTGCTTTCCTTTGTCATTAAATAATCCCTCCTAACAACTCACTTGTTAAAATAGATAAACAGAGCATTTAGATACTTCAACATGATCAAACAAGTCACACCGAGCAGAAAAGCCAAATTCGCTGGTTAACGAGTGAGTTGATAATCAGCTATTCCAAGCAAACCATCTAAAACAGTAACACATTTGTTGGGCACCCTGCTCTAACAAGAGCCACCCTCAAACAGATCTCCCCATACCTGTGACATAACTGCGGTGCTCGTTCGAGCGTAAGCCCTCCCGAGGTCGTTTCCCGGCTTTGATTAAATCCAGCCTGCGCGCTCTGCGAACGCCTGTTATTTTTCCTCGACTTATATAGAGCATCTAACATGAAGTCATTAGCTGGGTCATTTTCCCAAACCAGAACCCAGGATGATTCAGGTTGACGGAGGCTGTTGTTGTTGAAAGGTTTATTCTTAGCGATGACTAGGGTTTGCAGTATTTACTGCGCCCGGGCACGGACGGAGTTGGGGACTGAGGAGAGCAGACAGCTGGGGCAGTGGGACCGCGGGGAAGCCCGATCCACCACAAAAACCAACTTCCCCGGGAGTCCACTGGGGCTCTATTTATAACTTTAAAAGGCAAAACTTTGCTACAGACACAAAATTGACTCTGAATTCTCTTGAGGGGAAAAAAAAAGTTTTTCTTTCCCAGCATAACAAAATGTGCTTTCTCTAAATATTATATAAGCCTAATGTCCAAAGCATAACATTGTGCCCTGAAATCACCTTTGCAAAGGGATCTTTAACAGAAGAGTATTTTGTGTGTTTTGGAGAGTTAATGAAATAGGATATGCTTTTACCCTTACAGTTCTATTGCTGAGCTTGCTCTGATGCCAGCTCTTACACAGCTGAGAGTGTAAAATCACTTTCTACTTACAGCAGTACTAGTAAGTTTAATCATTTCACCTGTCATTTGTATAGGAATAGCTCACTCAGACATGAATAAATTCAGTGTTCCCCACCGTACGTGCTGACAGTAGTAAAACCTTATCCAGAACTTTGAAGATTAGTTCTCTAACCCATTTTTTAATTAAATAGGAAAAAACCCCAAAACTCTAAGCATTAATTTTATTACCAGGACAGGGTTGGGTAGGGGGTTGTTTCCCTTTTCTTTTTATAGTTTTACATTAATTCTTTGCATCATGCGCAAAAAAAAAAAAAAAAAAAAAAATCAGCTTCCGTAACTGCACTCAACATCCACAAAGGACCAAGACTCCCGCGAGGTGTGTTAATATGGGGAGGCAGATGTGGCAGACCTCCAAAGATCTTTTACTAGAAACATTGACCGTTGTGATAGAAACCTGCCCTGGCCTTTTCTCGAGCTCTGCCTGTGCTTTGATTAGGCTACATAGCAGCACAGGATGTAAAATAAAATCGGTATTTTTCATTATGCAAACATGACATCAATACCACAGCGCCAGCACCATACAATCAGGACTGTGGGATTTGTCGGCTGTGAACTATCCCCCAGGCCTGCGGGTGCCCATTTTGCCTTTAAGTTGAACTCTTTCCAGGCACGAGAAGATGCTTTATGTGACTACTGGACGAAGTTATGTGTAGGTTAAGAAGCAGTTTGGATGTTACATACTAAGCCATTCCTTAGGTTGAATTTCTATTTTAAACCCACAGCTTAGTAAACTAGAGGAAATGTTTCTTTTAGTAGGCTAAAAAAAGCAGCAGGAAAACACATTGACTTTACGGAAAGCCACAGATCTTTCTATTGTACAGAGTAACACCCCTCCTTCTCTATTACGATGTTTCTATACAGTCCTGTAAGCATCACTATTCTGACACCATGTATTACAACAGGAAAATAACATTCTGCATGTTTAAAGCAAATATTTAGAATTCAAAACACTAAGCTATTTTTCCCTTCAGCTTTCAAAATTGCTTCACTTAATTGATACTACATATTCCTCACTTAAAAGCAACAAGAGTTATGCTTTCATGGCAATTAAAAACAAAATCATTAAACAAAATGAAACACCTTCAGCTTGCCTGCTGCTCAGAGGTAGGAGATGAGGTGCTTCAGAGGGAGACAGCATATCCTGAAGTTTCCAAGACATCCCCCCTAGTTCTGTTCTCTTTGGTTATACATTTCCTAAACCAACACTGAACATCAAGTACAATCATTTCCTCTTACGATCACGGGCTAACTTTTCCATACAAAAAACCAAGCCAAATCTACAGTTACTTACATTTCAGAGTAGAAATCCTGTTCGTCTGGTTGAGGTCCTGAGATCTGTTAAATGGGACATGAATGACAATGAAACAAGATAGGCTCATTTATTTAATAGTGGCTATTAAAAAAGCAAGTTAACCTTCTTTCATCTTCCACTGCAACACAAAGTGTGGAAAAATCCTTTGCGGAGGAACAGCTGCAGCTAAAATATGGCTATGACCATGGAGAATTTAGTCAATGTACTGGCCACTGTGATCTCTAGGAGACATAGATCTTACGTAAGATTTGACTTCTCCAGGAAACTGCTAACATCCATCAGTAGACTGACAGGCTCGATCAGTTGAAGACTATTCTCAGAATTCCCTTTAAGGATGCAGTGGGTATGGGGCTGCTTGTGGGTGGGAAGTAATGAAAGTAATGGGCAAACATTAGAGAGGAGTTGCAGAGGTACCAGTGGATCAATGCTGTGCAGGTCCAGCCCAGTAGAACACACTAAACTGCTCCCACCAGGATAGGAAACGGGGATAGCAACAGCAGCTCACTAAGAACAGGATTTCTATTCTATTCTGGCATAAAGGTATCAACCTCTCACCATTTGCAGCCTTAAAAAAACCCTGATAACCTGCACATGGTCATGTTACAGCTTTACAGTGAGCCAGCTCTTGTCCTACATGGTCCTTCTCATTCCTCCAGCACTCTGGAAAATTGATGGTAGATAGCTTACCATGACTCCAGGGAACCTGGAGAGGAAGACATCATCCTTCTGCCCAACAAAACAGAAAAACCTCAAACTAGGTTACACTCATTTTGTTGGGTATAATAAGGGAAGTCCAAGTGCTTGCTGCTGACACTTTGGTACTTAAAGCACCTGCTTCCATGGAGCCTAAGAGACAACTCTGCACTACATAGATAGCATGTAGGAGCGATATCTTCATCAGACAGAAAAGAATCTGCACTGCTTCCCCCTTCCTCTTTTGCACAGTTTTGGGAAGTTGCAGAGACTAAAGTAAGCAAGGAAGACATTGGTCATCTCCAGCATGTTGCCCTCGGGAGTCGGGACAGAGAGACCATTTGGTCTTAGAATTAGACATCCCCATGCGGCCCTTTTCTGTCTCCGAGGAGGTACTACACGAGTTCTGTAACACAAGGCACTGCACGAGCGCAGTTCTCAACAGGATCCTCAGACATCTTCCCTCAGCTTGTGTTTCTACTACCTGCTGCAAACAAGTCAGAAGGGAGACAGAAGATAAAATAGTTTAACAAGTTATTGAATTAGGCCATGCCTCTGCCAAGGGGTAGGACATTGGAGGTAAATTCAGAAATGTCTAAATTTACACATTTTTCTCGTCAACCAAAAGATCTGGCTTTGCTTGAAAAGCCAAAAGCAAGCGGTGACAATCAGCTGTGTGGTTAAAGCATTTTAACAACATCCTACACTCCAGAAGGCCTCAGGTCAATGTTCTGCAATCTCAGGAGTTCTCAGGTTGCACATCAAAGGCTTTGTTTTCAATACAAAGATATAGATGGTTATTCTCCATATGTGCACATGCAGAGGAGAAAAACCCCTCCTCAGGGAAGAGATCCGAGAAGAGCCTGCAAGGATTCTTACAGTCGTAAACAAAATTTGCTACTTAAGAATAGTGGTCCCTCCAACTGCAATTGGACTTGCTACTACGGTAAATGAATACATTGAAATTAATACCAAGAGGAGAGTGCAAAACATTAGATCCGCAGTTCTCAAGTTAAACTCCAGTAGCAAAATCTGCTTCCCACAAGGGCACATTAGAAACATTGAAACATGCACACTTTTAAACAGAACAAGTATAAAACAAGTGTACAAATCTGTAATAAGTCAAACTTTATTGTAAACCATTATACAATGTAATTACATCAGATACCCTTAAAAGTTTAAGGTAACACCACTGATTAAACAATATGGTCCAAACAGAGGGCAGCGGAATACAGCTGTTTGTTTTGCTCACATAGGCTATACTCTGAATTTACTTACAAACAATCCCAACATTCAGTTTGAGATGGATACCCACGCAAGACAAAATCACCTACAAAAGAGTCCCTTTTTTAAAGATACTGTAGTTTTACTTTGTAAAACCATAGTAGTCATTTTCAGTAATTGAACTGGAAACTTTACCTAGAAAAGTTTGCATGCCTATGCTGTAGATCTACTCTGATTTGATGTGGCTGAGCTTACTTGCTTTCATTACTGGTTTCTCCTGTAAAAAGCACAGCAAAGTTGCAAACATGGGTTAGTCAAGCACAGTGGCAGAAATTCCTTGTGATGCTCAGCTCTCAGCAGACCGAGAGAGCCCAGGCCTCCCTCCCCAGGCACAGCTGGAATTGGAGCAGACACCTGCCGGAGGGGATCACTTTGCATTGCTCTGATTTGCAACTCAATTTCTGAGTTTTCCCTGAAGAAAAGCTATAGTACATTTTAATCAGCAACATTAACATACAGCACTTACCTACTTAAAGTAAGACAAAGGGACCAGAACATATTAAAGCCAGAACTTGAAAACCACGTATTAGACAACACCAGTGTTTTAAGTTTATGCAGATGTGTCATGGGTCAGATACTAGAAACAGTACATATAGGTTGACCATTTGTGGTAAAGTCAATCTCTACCAATACTTCTGTGTCTCTCCTCTTAAGTTACAATCCCTTTCTCTTACTTTGGCATATACTACATAGCTTATTTTCACTAAACAGAATCACATTTTTTTAATCACAGCCTGAATTAAACCTTTGCTATGAGTTGTCCTGAAGTACATTTACCAGGCATAAATTTAGAGCGCCTACTTGAGGATAATGCAAAGGTCATGTTGCAATATTATTAGCGGATCAATTTTTCATGAAAAATGTATTTCAGACTGCATGGCAAATACATTTCAATGAATATTAAGACATAGTGAAGCACTAGGCACATACTTCCTTCTCACACATACAAGCTCTTCAGACAAGAGCCCTTGCCCTATTTGTACCTACTGCAACAATTTCAATTTTTATCTTACAAAGATGAAAACTGCCAATTCTACTTTTTCCATCTCTTTCATATGATAACAAAGAAAGAATAGAAAAGAAAACATTTTTTGTTATTTGGCTAAGGTTGTGAATAAAACTTTTATCTTAGTAGAGAAAGTTAGAGCTGCTTTTTCCCTCTAAAGATATGCTCCTCCTGTTACTACTGTAGTATTTAAAATAGTTCTGTCTCTTTGGCTCATAGTGCTTTACTACATCATCTTGCTAGGCATATAAAATCTCAAACCAAGTGACATTTAAGCACTTAAGACATGAAAAATGAGGCATTCATATACTTTTGCTGTAACCATCTTCAAGAAACTGCTCCATAGTGCTTTACACTCTTTTGTACTTGGTCAAAAAGTTTGAGGTCTGCTCAAAACAAATATTTTTACATGATTAAGGCCATAATTTTATACTGACATTTCACAGACTAAACATAAGACTAGAAATAGAAATCATTTTGATGATTTAAGCAACTGGAGAAGAGGAGGGAAAAGGAAGATAAAATGAAAGCTCGTACAGTTAAATTTGTGTGCGCTGTTCAGTTATCTCTGATGGTTGATGAGGACAGTGATGGCTGTGCAGTGGTATGTAGCACATGCTGAATAGCTTTATTTCACTATGTGAAATAGAACAAATCCTATGCTAAAAAAAAAAGCTGACATTTGTGACAAGAGCCGGTTCTAGCTCTTAAATCCCTTTGGAAAAGTAAACTGTATGAGACTATTCTGTTGATGAAAATTAATTCCTTGAAGTACCGTGCTTTTGGAGATATGCACCCGCCCAGTGGTAAATAGTCAAGAGAGGATGGAAGTCACACAATCAATGAAAAAATCCAAAACACGGAAAACAGAGGCAACACTGATTAGGGACATTCCCCCTCCACTCCCCTCCATTTCAGAATAACTCAGTTAAGCTTCCGCTGTCATTAGTTTCTAGATTTAGTCTAAAAGAAACACTAGTACTTAAACTTATTGCAGTTATTACATTTCAGTGCACAGTAACAAAGGTCAGTGGCTCAACTAAACTTGCACACATTACGTTTGGTAAAATGTCCCTTCTAGGCAGCTGGACATGCTGAGGTGTACCTGAAGTCTCAGAACATTGTGTTCACCTCGGCAGCCAAGCAGTGAAAAGGAATGCTGGAATAGCGAAAAATAAGTAAGGGAGCGCACAGTTCAGTATTTACTAAGGCCCAAGAACCCCATTTAAGTGGCCTGGATAATAAATCACATTAAGACCTAGTAAATCTATAAAAAATGTAAAAAATCTTAAAAAGTTCTGAGCAGTTTTCCGATGAAACTGTTTGGTTTAAGGCTTGGAACATTTCTGATGTTCAGATACTACAACAGATTTGCAATTAAGGTCTGTCGTCACCTCTTTGACACATCGCCTTGTCCTGCACAAGGTTTAACTAAGCAAGGAAAGCTGTTGGAAACAGTAATTTAGAAAACATGCAAAGCAAAAGGATGTCACTGAAAACATGTCTGCTAGGTTTCAGATCAGCACGTGTTGTCAATTATCAGAAGACAGAGACTGAAAATCACAAAAATTCTATAGTAACAACTGTATTATACCTCTCGGGGTTGGTTTTGTTTTGTTTTTTTCTTTTTAACTACTAAAGGATAATCAGTCTTTATGGAAATTAAACAGGAGAAATATATATATATTTTTTTTAAAAGCACATTAAATAGAAGATTGCTTTTCTAACAAAAAACAAGGGACAGAATTATTTGCAATATTGTAGCACAACTGCTTCAATTGGATCACGGTCCTGTACTGCAGGCCCTTTATAAGGAAAAGTATAAGAAATGTTCTATGTCTTTTGGGTCATTTGAGAGGTATGCACAAAAAACTTGCAGAAACAGAAATAATTAGTCATCCACAGATACTCATTTCACAAATAACCTATCACAACAGATTTTTGTTATACACTAAAGTGCACATTTGTCAAATATGCAAACACCACCTCCTATTAAAAAAGGTATTTTCAAATTATGTGGTCAAAAGCACACTTAGGACTGCATTTTTAGTGATATTTGGTGATTTCATCAGTGACAGAGAGCTTTTCCCTTTGCAATTCCTTTGTCTTAAACCAGGACACAAGGATAAATAAGGTTTTCACTAGAAATCTTTTGACATGTTCTGCACAAAAAGGGGAACTGCACCCTTTTCTCTGACAAAGAGAATCTTTAAATACAACTGTATGAAAATATAACTTAAATATAAAATAGTCAAATAGATTCGAGGAGACTTGAAAAAAAAAAATCTTTGTTCCACCTATTAGTTCCATAGGTACCTGGTAGCAAGTAAACATTTGTACTTAAAAAAATAACATTAAGTTACAGCTTGTAACCATAAACTATTCTGCTCTAGGAATTATGCTGCAAAAGCCAGTTTTAGTAATAAAACACACTCCTTTAACTCAGTTGATTCTGATGCCTTTTTGAGAGCATCTTAAACTGTATCATCAGTAACCATAAGTGAAAGATTGCTGTATCTGTTTTCTGTGATCTTCTCCGAAATGTCAGATACAAATGCCCTTAGCGACTAGTCCTTATCAGTGCTGTTTCTCACACATGATGAAAAGACATTCTTGCATAATTGGTCAGTGTGTCTGTAGTGCAACTGAACTGGAAGTCTTCCAACTGTGTGCATTCTGTTGGTAGACCTTGCTTTTGAGTCAGTTTGTATGAAAAGGGAGATGCAATTGCAACATTAAAACCCACTGACTGAAGTTTTTGCCATGAAACCTGCAAATACACAGGTCAAGGAATGTGTCATACAGGCAGACCAAAACGATGCTTCTTCTTCTTAATGGGCTTTAAGTTGGTCAGTCTACGCAGGTCCTCTTCAGCGTCTGATTCCTCCATCTCATCATCTGCCGAAATAAGGATCTAGAAACAAATTACAGCTTCTGAGTAATACGGATCAAAGTCACACTCTTGTCTCCGTTCTACTTTTAAACTTTTACTTTTATGCTTGCAAAGCACCTTATTATTAGCTTAAGAGCGAGCTTACAGAACACAATTTGGATTTACTGCCAGTACTATCAATGTCACACATCCTATCTGGAACTTCCAGCAAATTTCAAAGAAGGATGCATGTGTACTGATCTCTACTAAAATCACTGACTCTAAACCCAAAGAAGCGATTCCAACACCTCCAGAACAGTGGGGGCGGCTTGCTGTTAGAATGAGAGAGAATATATAAGCTCTTTATCCACACTGGTAATATGGCAGTCATTTTGTTAAAGAAAACCGCATATAAGTAGTACTGTCTGTAACACAGAAAAACTACATTAACCAACTAAAGCTAAAACAACTTACCTTCAAAGATACCACCCCTCTTTCAGCTGAACTGAAAACTGCCCACTTAATAAAATTATTCTAAAGGCAAGAATGTAAATAATTCTCCAAAATCAGGCCAGTTGCCTCCACCAGCTTCCTCTCACTTTAAGCCACTAACCTCTCTTTGAATCAGAATTGTCTATTAGGTTTTTTTTTAATTCCATGTGGGTCTTTTTAGATGCATTTGTAACACAGTTCACCTGTGATATTTAAATATATTATTATGTCTTCCTGCCCATCTGGAAGGAAATTAACTACCGTGAGTGGTGCAACAATGACATTTTTCTTAACTGATTTTCAACTGCAAATGCTTGGAACTACTGTTAGAGGTACATGCAAAGGAAGTCAAAACTAAGTTAACAGTGTTACAATGAAATCAATGGCATGAGGGATGAACTGGATTGATAACTGCATTCATTGCAATAATTAACTTTACATACTTCTGACTCTGACTCTTCATGTGATGCTGCTCTCCTGTATCGGACTTTACTTCCATTTCTTGAATCTTGTCCTGCTTCCTTTTCTTCAAGTTTAGCTTTTGTCTTCCCTTTCTTCATAAGAAAATTATCGACTACCCAGAACATTAATGCCTGTTAAAGAGACAGTTTCAGGGACAGTTCAGTTTTCCTTAGAGTAGCGTATGTTCATTCGGTCAGTATTTGGACAGAATTAGGACAACTTGACAATAATTCTGAATTGACCAAACAGGTAAAATGCTGTTTTTAGGCATAGGCATACACTCACATGGCTTATTACACATTGCATGAATGCTCTAGAACATAGATACTTTATTCCTTTGTAGAAGAGAAGAAAATAAGAAAAGTAGCTGCTGTTCAGAGTGATCACATATTAACTCTTCATGTAGATATGTGAACGGTTTAGGTAGACATCTTAGTGCAATAGACTTTTGGTTCTCAAAGGATAAAATTCAGGCTTGAACAAATGAATGAAAGAAAAAACCAAAAATCACCAGCAGTTATTAAATGCAAGGACACCCACCGTCTCTGGCTCTAGTCCTTAAATCCCAGACTGCTGGAAGAGTATACTTTGGGAAGGATGACTGCACACTTGCCCTTTTCCTCTGCTCCATCATAGGCCAGCCACTATTAGCTATGGTCAGACACAGGATACTTCACAGTACAGCTATGCATAGACCAACTGTTCCCTAAAGCAAATTTCACGGTAGTTTTATAATCTTTATGTCAGTATTTCAGTATTACACTCAATCTACTGAGGTCATCAGGCCAAAGAGGTCTTATGAGGCATTTCTGCATCCATCCTGAGCCTGGTTACTTAGCTCAATATGGATTTCAGCTTTGTAAAATCTACATATCAAGACATTTTATCCATTCTTTAACACCCTTCCTTGTTAAAAATTAAGTACCAAGGTACACCGTGGTTTAAGAACTAATGTTAATTGATTATTACATGGAAGAAAGATATCCAAGTGAACATCTCACAGAAGTTTGCAAGTTGTACTAACATTAACAAAGAAGGGAACTATCAGCATGACGATAGCCAGCTCCAACTGAGGGTTCTCTATAGGATTCAATAAAGCTACCTGTGAAAAGAAAAGGATTAAGTTCAGATCATGGCAGCATGGGCACATAACTGGATTAGTAATTGCAATTGTTTATGTACTAGCTAACACTACAGAAATAATTCATATGAACCAAAAAAAGGACAGCTTCGTAGAAAAGCGCAGTACAGTACTTAGGACAGCTTATAAATTACTACAGGTAAGTTTCTTGCCACCCCTGCTTACTTATCTCTGTCATTTTTGTTTACAGAAGTCTGAAGAGCTGTGTTAGAATCATCCCAAACATTTTAGAGCTCCATGCTCCCCAGGAACATGTTTAAAGTTCTATCTTCAGAAAACTTAAGCAGACTAGCGTTTCACAAAATACACAAGAGGAAGACGACAGAGTTCACAAACTAATCCAGAACATAAAATAGGGACTAACTGGTTTTAATGGGCTGTATCACCATGCACCATCACTTAGAATATTATGTTGCACAGATTCTATCAAATATTTATCCACTCATCAGCAATGGCTTCACTAATCCATTGCAAATTACTAAAATTCTACTGTTTAGACCTATCAACAACATCAGGCAAAGAAAATTCTTTAAAATACTACAAGCAGCAATTCCAAATAGCTTTAAGTAAGGGTTAAAGAATTAAGAAAAGGAAGAACCACTTAGTAGCTTCAAGAGCACTCAGACAAGGAGATAGAATAAAATTTTAATATATTGTAATACATAAAGAACCTCCAAAATACAACAGGACAGTCCTGTCAATGGATGCCAGAAAGCCTAATTAGCAGTATCCTAATCAAGCTAAAAGAATATACTACTACCACAGAGTTAAATGGCATCAACTGTAGAAAGGATGCTTGAGCCAAACCAGTAAACACTATGGGAAGTCTGTTGCTTTACAGCTTCCACCTGAAATTTGTTTGTCTGTAAAATGCTAGAAAAATACAAACCTCTTTCCACTGAGGTATAAGCAGCACTATAATGATGATGGTTTTCTCAAATGTCATAATCATTATGTACAGAGCACATTGGCCTACCCAAGCACTGCACTGCAATGGATCACCTGCAAGAAAGAAGAAAGGTTCAATATATGCATAGGGTTGCTTTTACTTCACAGTAAACATTTCAGAAAAGTCGTATTAGAAGAGGCAGGGCAGCTCTATCCTCTTAAAGTGCCTTCTGCAATTTCCTTAGTGCTGCTCCTTCCCTCAGCCTCACCCAAACTTTCAAGTATCATCATTTAGAACCTGAATATAACAGGACTTCATCTGATTCAGCAGTACCTGGTATACGCTCACTGTTCTACATCACCTGAAGAAAGCAAGACAGATATAGTTGCATTGCACTTGATTCTCATCAAATTGTTATTTTTGACCCTCTATCATGAAGTACTAAGTTTCTTAAAAGGGAAAACTTAAAGGAAACACAGCTGGGGAAAAGTCTATTTTCCTTCAGTCTAAGTAGAAACATGATGATTTCTGCCATTCTCCCTAGGCTACCTTAAACATATTTTCCCTCTCTACAAAGTTAGTTGCCATAACTAATCAATCATAATTGAAGCAAGAGGTGCAAAAGCTGCTATGTAAAATTTAACTGAACAAAAAGTTAGTATCACATTTTAATGAAGGGGTTTGAAATTTTGCGGCACCCCGTTGTGGTAGAGTGAAAACTTGAGTGCATTAAGTTATCTGCCAGGACAGACTGAAGACCGCAATATTTGAACACTAAAACATACGTAAACTATTACATTCTATGGCAGCAGGGAGCGAAAATAAAAAGGAAAAAAAGAGGACTGATATGCCTAACAAGTTTTGCAGGTAAACTTAAAGCAGCACTTCACTGGAAACCAAAAAGAAGCTTTGGAGGGGAGTGTTAGCTCTTTAGTCTTCACAATAGCCTCTGCAGCATCTTCAAAGGCAGCTTAAAACTTTTAGCCTGGGGATGAATAATGGGCAATGGAAATTCAGATGCCTTTATGTATTTGTAATGCATAATGGATAGTTGCTACTTCCTTTTCTGGAACATTTCTGAAAGACTTTCAGTATTAGTACTTGGTAATAGTCTTGAGACTTACTGTTTGCTGCTTAAATGCTATGAAGAGAAACTGATAAATCAGACTGGAGTCCAAAACAAAGAAAACTTCCTAAACAAGTTTTACAGTAAGAGCTAGGGAACAACATTCAATAGTCCAAGAGGAAAATGGTTAAAATGTTCAAGTTTTACAATCATATACTGCAGTTTATGGCTTCTGTTGTAAAAAAAAAGTTAGAAAATTTGAAAGGGGAAACATCAGTAATGCAAAGTTGAGCAACTGTGCTTCTTCTGAAGATACAAGGCCTGAATTAGATTTGAGAATTAAATTTCAGCAATTAATTTCTATACTCCACATTTTTATTAGCATTCCCCAGTTATCTTCATTAACCACCAAATATATAACCCCCCCCAGCTTTAGATACAGATTTACCATTGAAACTTCACCAGTTTATTCTAAGCTCTTTTCCAATCTGTATTTAATTCCTAAAAGCAAAGATAGCTATAGCAATTTTGCCTCTATTCCAATTTTGTCACATGAGATTTTGTACATCCAAAAATTGTGAAACTCTGCATTAAGAGTGTTGTGCACTATGACCAATGAAAATTTTGTTCCATGATGTTTTTGTGGAGAGGGGGGCTGATTTTTGGTGGGTCTTTTTTTTTTTTTCTTTGCACATGACTGAAATTAGAAGTTGTATATATTAAATTCTACTTGGGGATTTTTGTGTGCCCTCCTGTGTCTACAAAATTGTCTCTCAGCTCTAATTACAAGTGGGGAGAACAGGGATGCTGTCTACTTTTGAATTTACCAAGTCTTCTGACAGCCTCCCAATAGAATCCTTGGAGAAAAGTTGGGAAGATATAGACTGGATGGGTAGATATACAATTCTGACATAAAGGAAAAAGTTTTCACAATGAAAGTAGTTAAGCACTAGAGTAGATTGTTCAAACAGGTTCTTAAATCTCAAACTATGGATAAATTAGAAACTGGACTGCACCATGCCCTGAACAACCCACTTTAGCTTTGAAATTAACCCTGCTTTGAGCAAGAGGTTGGATTATGAGACCTCTAGAGATCCTCTCCAACCAATTTTTTGCTATGATTTTATCATCTATGCAATTCAAGGGAAAAAGTAGAAGTTAACAACATCACCAGATCTAGGAGGTGTTCCCAAGATTATGTGGGACATTTGTACGTTCAAAGATTCAGTACACAAACTCAAATTAGAACTTGAAAGCCATAGTGTTGAAACCATAAAGGTCTAATTTAATTTCTAAAGTTTCCAACAGTCTCTCTTGAATTCTGATTTTATACCTGTCATGTATAAATTACATGTCTAGAATAAACTAGCAAATCAATAGAAATCTTGTTACTGCAAGAAAAGTGCATCAAGATTGAAACTGAAAAAAACCCGAATCCTGAGCAGTGACAACTGTAGCAGCATTTTTTGGAAATGCTGGGCAATGAAAAACTAGTCTATATTAGTGTTTACTACTTCCATCAGCCACTTTGTAGAAGAACATTTATATACCACTCTTGAACAAAACACCTGTGATTCCTCTATCCTGTAACTTCTCTCTGCTCTTCAAATCCTGAGAAATTTTCTCAAGAAAGCGCTAGCTCACAGAACTACTGCAAAACAAATTTAAAAAAGCTTTAAAGTAAGTGCTATCTACCCTATATGGCTATAAGTTGCTCTGCAAGTTACAAACAAAGAGCTAGAGGGAAAAGATGCATCAAATACAATTTCTAAGCTTTGACATCTGAGAAGCAAAGAAGCCACAGCACAATTTAGTTGCCAGAGTTCATTGTCACCAAGGGGGATTTAGTCACCTGTTTTTTTACTCTCAGCAGCTGAAGTGGCCTAAGACAAGAAGGGAAGGAGAATGCAGGGAACATTCTTTTCAGTACAGATCACGACTGCTCTTCTCCTCTTTACATACTCAAATATATTAACTGATTCTGCACTTCTATTAAAATCGAGCTGCTTATGTAATGAATCTGAAAATACAAAACTAGGAAAATTAAGACATCTAAAACTTAAAAATTCTGCCATAAAAAAGCCCTTGAGGAAGTATCATGCTACTTTGTTCATAAATCAGTGGGCAGTGCTGTTTTGCTGTACAAACAGCAACCATTTATGAATGCCGATATTTTTTTATCCATTCTTTCCTTGAGGCATTTATGCTTAAAAACTATCCTCCATATAAAGAAGAGGCTTTTAAAACCAGCAGGACACTGCTATTTTTGTGACAGCTTCAAGTAATGAATCACTAGGGATCAAGTAATAGAGCTAAGAAGGGAAATGAGCTCACAGTGAGAATTAACTTGAGACAAATGATTATTTAGGCTCTAGAAACACAAACAACATCACTCAATCACAGGAAGAGACTTGTTTTTTGGGGGAGGGGGTCTCTTGTTTGTTTTCTCACACTTGCAACAAACTGAAATCACGCTGATCTCCAAGCCGAGGACTTGACTTACTACTTCAGATAAAAAGCCCCAAGTCTCTGATACCTTTCAATAAGCAGACACCTCACCACCCATGTATGCTAATCATCCATAATTAACTTCAACATACTAAGTCTAAACACACTTGCCACCCCATAGGACTGCATTTTAGTCCGCTCTTCTGCCCTACTTAATTATTTTAAAGAACCTTATGAAAAATAAGACAAGAGGTTTTTTGGGGCCAAAGTGAAAAATTATAAATAAGACGGTGATATGAGGGTTTTCTATTCACAAACAACAGTAGTACTTAACAGAAGAGGGCAGCAAACAATCCAATACAACCTCTCCTTTTTAGATGGGTTTCTTACATAGGGTCTAACCTTACTGCAGAGTCATTACTAACAACTTTCCATCTGCTATCTAGTTCTCTTTATACCAGAAGCCTCTCCCACATGATTAATGGAAATACAGATTTACAATATGCTTTTTATTAGTCCTTACAATAGCTTGATTAAAAAAACCCAACACACTAAGGTCAGGACAGCACATTAATGAAGATACAGAAAAGAAAGCCACTAATGAAATGGTCTGATATTGGAAAGAACAACTAAGTAAAGAGGACTTATATAATTTCATACATTGCTTACACAACACACACAGAGAACAAATACTTGATAAACAAGTTTAGGTATTGCAGATCTAACTCAAAATGACAATGAAGGATCAGTCACAGACCACCTCGGCAGCAGAACACAAGAAGTTAATTTGTTGATTCCAAGAGCTTAGTTACTGCAGTCACAGATGTCTCATAGCTACCCAAAATAAAAAACAGGTTAATTTTGGAAGTCAATGAGAGATAGAGACAAATTTCAGGACAGTGAATATACTCCCCACACCTTCCCATCCACAGACCACTATTGTTAAAAGGACATTAAAATGGGAGAGGAGAACAGATTACACAAGAAAAAACAGAATGTTATTAGGAAGAAATAAAATTTAGTATTTGACATGATTACAAGTACCTACCTGTAAGTTTTTTGCTCTGCATGGAAAACCCATTTTATATGGGCTGAAAGCTGTTCAAGCATCTTTAAATGGCTTCAAGCCAAATCAACAGTCAGAAAAAGGGACTTTGGGCAATAGGTCTCAAAGCTCGGTCACAGAAGGTGTAGCTCAGCAGTATCTCAGCTCTTTCCTTGCCCTTTTCCCTTCCCTGGGCATTGGTGCTTATCTAATCCCTTAGGGACCCAAGTCTGGGGACTGATCTGGAAGAACTATTTACTTTTCTACATATGGTAAATTTTCTGATGGTTTAGCTCTCTGAATCAGTTCCCTGAAGAGTCAGATGTGTACCAGTCCCAGGAAGAGTGGAAATATTGGACCATGGCATGTGGGAAAAAAACAGATAAACAGTGTTGTGGTGATTTAAACTGCTTAAATGGTCATAAACTGTACCCTAAAAGACACACATTAAATCTAACTAAAAATGCTTTAATGGTATAGGCAGTTATTTCTCCTAAGACAGATGCTTGTCATCATCTCTCTTTTAAACCTCTGACATTAAAACAGATAGCGATTAATGCTATTTAATTTAATTGTAAACTTCTCAAGCTTTTAAAGTACTTCAACTTGGCAAGGCCTTTATGTATTTATCCTTAATTATGTCGGCCACTTAGGTTTATTAAAAACAAAGAAACCTACAAACAAACAAAAAAACCCTATGAAACTGCTATGAAAGCTTTTGTTTTGTTAGGCAAACATTATTTTAACTCTTCCCCCCACCCCCGCCAACCATTGGGTTTTTTGTTTTCGTTTGTTTTTTTTTTCCTCTCTCTCTCTCTGATGAAGAGCTATAGCTCTCTCACAGGGCAACCTCTCCCACCATTCCTATCTCAAGGAGCTTCAAAGGTAACTTTTAGCACTTATACAGAACTTCCATTCCCAACCAGACAGACCAAGCAATCTGAAAATAACAGCTTGAAGAGAATTAAATATTGAGTATGTATGATACTCAACTGCATCTGCAAATCCACAGTTTCTGCAGATCAGTGGAATTCCATGGCTAACGTAATGGAAGATAAAACACACAACTTCAAGGGAAAGTGATTTCACTAGCCTATCCCTTAGCCTGTATGAAAGACATATGTGTTTTTCATCAGTGGTACAAGCCCTATGTGCAGGAGTTCGAGCGATCATTACTTGAGGACAAGCACAGGCCACCTCGTCATTCTCTTCACCGAAGGTATGTGGTTGTTTAAAAGAGGGCTGGCAGAACTCTTAGCCTGTATCTTCAGATAAGGGCACGTGGTTCAGTGAAAGCTTTAATAGGAAGTGACCTTCCAGCTATCATTTATTTAAAAGTGTTTCAGAGTAAATTTATCATGCTGTTGATCTTTTTCCACAAGAGTAGCCAATATCATAATTTGTTGAATCACTCCTAAAAGAATAAATATTCAAGTAGTTGTTCCAAAATCACTAAATGCTTACAGACTTGTTGAGCTTTCTAACACAGAAGGTGCATGCCAAGATACAGAACTTAAAAGAACCCTTGTGACAAGTGAAATATTAAAACGACCACTATAATCATTGTATAATGATTTTAAGATGAGTTAACCACTAGCCGAAATTTTCTGAGAGTCTATCCTGAAAATCATTTCAGTGCAAGAACAGAAACATTTACCATATTCACCAAAGCGAAGGGACTCCCACTGCTGCCATTCCACAATGCTGCTGACTGCACGTATACCAATATAGATTAACAGCATTCCTAATGTGGCATCTAACAAGAAGTTGATAAGGTACCTGAAAGGAAAAAATGTAAAAGAACACAAGGAGCAAGGGTCCATTTTCTACAAATTCAGTGTATTTTACAGCATGATTTGAGAAAAGATCTGTATGTATGTTGAGAAGCCAGAGTATTGAGAATAATCATTTACCCACTTCCATAATTACATGGTTAGCTTAAAATTTAAATAGTTTTAGAAGAGTCTCAATATTTTGTTTCTATCCTTAAAGTTAAGCTCCAGCTTCTATTTTCGTGAACTCTGGTGTAAGCATGTCCATACTCTATATAAACTCAAAATTCATTTTACTCCTTTAAATTAAAACCAGATTTCCTTTTTACCATTGCTCAGTTCATTCTGCATGGAGAACATGTATTTGAATAAAACCAAAGGAACAGGAATAAGAGGAGAAGTTATCTTAAAGACACCTCAAGGAATTTGAAAGTAAAAAAAGCCCATGCAAAACCCTTTCATTCTGAGGGGGAAGGACACTACAAATAGACAGTTTTTCTTGCTTAACAGAACCCCTTCCTAGACTCAACAAGGGGCAATAAGCATGTAGAATACGATGCCTAAAGAGTACAGTCAGTATCTAGGCCAAATTTCAACTTACTTAGTGTTAGAAAGAAAAGTGATTTACTTTCTTGCACTTCAGTTATTGTCCAATAAACACCTGAAACAATCATGAACAAGCCTTCCCAGAAAAAAAACACCCCACAAAACAAAACCAAAAACACCACCAGACCACAAACCAAACTACCCCTCAATGGACACACAAATGCTGCTCTACTAATTTTATTGTTTCAAGAAGAGCTTCTGGGATCTTACCTATGCTTCAAGAAACTAGAGATTACTATGGGTTTCAAATTAATTCTTGGGTTCATTAAATGGTGCAGCTGAAATTCAGAGCATTTTGTAAGTCAGTTTGGTTTATTTATTATCACTGATTTTAGCTAAACAGAACAGCAGCTGAGAAAGAGCCAGCTGTAAGACACACAGTAAATCCCTGTTACTGAGATTCTTATTTGGTACTTCCAAATACTTAAGGTAAACGCTAGAGTCTATAGGAACTTATCTGCAGGGATAAAAATAGCAAGTCAGAGACCTGTGGGCTTCTGCTGGTTGTGGAGGCAAATCCACGTGGACAAAATAGTATCAGGGAAGTGGAAAGTAAAGACAGCATATGTGCATTCAAAACAGTAAAGGAGGAGCTGTTCTGACTCTCAAAGTCCCATTCAAGAGCAGCTCAAACATAAAAATGAAGCAGACGTGCCTTGCTTCAGCCAAGACTTACCTATAAACTTCCTAAAAAATAGTTAATTTCTAATAGTTGTGTGTCAAATCAGAGTTTTGATGAACTTTGTAGTAGAGAAACATTGAATCAAGGCTTAGTGTTTGGCAGCGGAAACTCAGCAATTACAAGTCTACACAAGTCATTTTAAGGCCACAAGGGGCTGCTGTAGGTCTACAGCAGGAAGGCAGCCATCAGGAGCAGGGAGAAGAGATGTGCCAACACCTATTTCACGTCAAATTACGTCTCACAGTGCCGGCCAAGTATGCCTGATATTCCCAAGCACATCACGCTCACTACATGTAGGCAACATGCTCATTCTGTGCTGCACTGCATTAAGCCTGCCCACGTGTAAGTGTAACCAGCACAAACAACAAAACAAGTTGCTATTACTATCACATAAATGCATCTGCCCGAGAGTTCAGCGAGTAAAAGGCTGGGGTTCATACAAACTTCCCGGTGTACCGCATACAGCCAAGTGGGTACCCTGCACTACAGAAGAAAAGTGCTATCTGCTTTTTCTATTTAAAATTCTTCAGACAACAACCCATCTGTCGAGGTGGTTTGATATCAAAGCTGATAAAACGCCTGTTATCACACACCTGCCTGAATTACAGCACTACATTCCCAAACTAACAAATGGCAACTTCCAATTGTAGTTCTTTCCAAGCTTTGAACCACAATCTCTTCTAAAACTACATTTTCTGGTTGTGTTCTGAAAATAACACACAAACTACAAAACAGGAAAGAATGGGAAACCACCCATGTTTGAATTTGCTGAGTAAAATTATTATTATATAAAGTCGCAGACATAAATGTTACTTTTACTCTCTAATTTTGACCCACTTGCAAACTTAAGATATATTTCTCCCAAGAAAGGACAAATGGCTTTAGTTAAAACTACGTGCTGGTTTTTCTGCTAACTAGGAGGACCTGCACCCTTGTCCGAGAAATTATACAGCTCCACATTGTAATTTTTGTTCTCCTGAGAACAGTGCAATAACAGCTCTCTACCTCACCCTTTTACTTGTTTTGTGTCACATTACTCTTACAGGAAAAGTGCTATTTGAAAATAAAGTTATGTAGAGTATATTAAAGCATGAGGAAGAGAATGCACATATTAGGAAACCTTTTATTTTGAAAGCTCAGTACACAGCACAAAGTTCTTTTTAATTTTGAAATACTTTAATAAACTATTGAGCTCTAGCTCAAATGGAATGAAAGCAATTTGCACCTGCTAGTTTTTAAATCTATCACAAAATTCTTAAATCAGTAAGCAAGGAAAATCTTACAGTAATAGCTGATATTATTGAAACTGTCATAATTATAACTTAAACTTTACAGTTAGTGTGTTAAAATAAATACATTTTCCCTACTAAAATGCTTTGTGGTGGGAAGAGAAAAACAGTGTTTTACTTGCACATTTATAGCATGTAGGAACACAAAAGAAACTGAGGAGGAATAAGGGAAATAAAACAGGCTTGTGAAGCAACACAAGCATATTCCTTGAGCTGTGTAGGTCCTTTGTTTAGCAAAGGACAACAGTGAGCAGATGCCAATCCAGTAGGAACTGGATTGGTTTTAAAGGGCAAATTACTGGACTTTTAAAAGTAGTATCACAGCTTCTATTACCAGAAATGTGTAAGCTTCTCTAAGCACGAGCCGTACAAGAACAAACCCAAACAATTACCATTTGTTTCAGGGGCTCCTGTAAAGAGCCTGATGGGGTCTTAGTCATAAATTCTTCAGGTTTAATATACTACAGTGAAATGCTTATCTACTTAGTCACACTGCTCCACGCGTGACATTGCAAATTTAGTTTTTGTACTAACTGCCTGGGTACCGAGCAAGATTTCCTGCTTTTAGCAAAATGAAAATAATACTGCAGTAGCTAATGTAAGTTTTAGAAGAAAATACAAGCATCAATAATTTTTGCTAAATATCGCTGAAAGCAACCAGACTTTATATTAAAGCCTTGCTGCAGCGAACAGTGCAGTTGGAGGTCAGTGCACACAACTTTCTATTGACTTCCTTTGGTCCGTAGCACTCCTTCAGTTAACAGCCTCATATTACAATGTGCAGCCTAAGTCCTCACCGTTAACTGGAGAGGGAGAGTAGAAAGGGTTTACCCTAGGTCTAAAATATCTATACACGGCCCAGAAAAAGCTTTCCCAGGTCCTGCCAGCCACAAACTAAATGAGCAGAACTCTGACCCTTGATTAACTAAACTTAAACCACAGGTTTTTCAAAGTGATTGATTTTTACCATGAAAATTGGTTTCTCAGCTCTATCTTGCATTATTGCCCTTGTACACCATCAAACTCAACTGCAGAACTTCCATAAAGACCAATTATTCTGAAATAAAACACTCACAGTGAACAAGGATCCTCTTCAGTAAGGTCTGATAAATAGACATTTGCGAAGTGGATGAACAACATCCCTATGGCTTGCTTGGAAGTATCTAAAAACCTGTATAGAGTAAAAACAGTTTTTAAGACACACATAACTTTACAACACAGACATGGAATTTTAATTAAAATAAATTTGCAATCCCAGTTATTTATTTTTATTTCAAATGGGAACACCAGAATAGTGAAGTGTCGTGGAATTTAGCTTATTTAGCAATGTTACATTTTAAATTCTGCCCCCTTTTTTTCTCGTATACTGTTAACAATAAACCAAATCATACTAACTTGAAACCTTACCACTGTAAATTTAAAGTCTAGGGATATCCTCTTGGTATCATGCATTATCCAAGAGCTAATCCTCACTAAACCTAGCTAAGTCTTTAATAACCTCCTGTAAACAATGAATATCCCAGCCTTGCTAGATATGTCAGTCCTTTTATGTTTATGCATTTTTTGCAAGTTAATGGCACAGACAAAAATAAAATGCTCATCATGTGCTTGTTGAACAATTTAATAGCTGGCTAATGAGTCTTTCATCTATAGTATTTTGCTAAAAAGACAACATATTTTTCACCTGAAAGCATGAAGGGGTCTTACTGAATTTTATCTGTAGTACAACAGCTTGGACCACACTGCTAAAGAATTACAACCTTGAAAGCATTATCTCCACAGCAGATGACAGAGTTAGAGAGAAAACAGTTTACTATTTACAAGGAAAATACAAAAAACCCCACTTAGGTACTGATTCAATATTGACTCCCAGCCGTTCCCATTCTTCTATCATCGTCCTTTGCACAAAAACAAAACTTCCAGTGGATGCTTTATTAAATGTTAAATATAGGAATCATGTCAAAACATTTCTGTAAGCAAGAGTGTGTTCTTTATACAGACCAACACCCATCCTGTGTGTTGTTTCCATGCCTAAAAAGATCCAAACACCCCAACAGATCCAAACAACATATTATGGCTGAACTCGTCTCCCCTCCCTGACAACTTTGTCTTAAACTTTATTCTCTTGCATTCATTGCAAGACATAGAAAGCACAGTGTTGGAGATGAGGCAGGAAGCCAGTGAGTTACTTATCTAATCAGTACGCCATACTATAAATAACAATACTCAAGTCCCAGAACAAGATTCTTTGCTTAAAAATTAAGGGCTATCACCACACTGCTTGGAATTTCAGGCTGAGGTAGACTGTACTAGACAAAGATTTTGAATTTATTTTTTCAAAAAAATGAAGGTCAGAATTGGTTTTGAAAAGCAGCATTGTACGAGATGAATTTAAACCACTGAAGTCTTCAACAACTGGAATGACAGCTTAACATTTACACCAGTCTCAAAACTAGTACAGGTTATGTTGGCATTGCTACAATCCAGTAACATTTTAAGAGTAATGAAGATAAATATACTTTTTATATCTTGCATTCTTCTATGGCTTATGGATTTACATCTTTTACCACATGGTTTTCTATCTTATATGTAGTAGGATAGCTACAAAACATGGAATTTTGTTCAAGCCCAGCCAAGAGCTTTTTTTAAGCTTATGTAAGTCTGTAGATGTTCAGATGCATCGTAGGGCAACTGTAAGTTTCCATCTTCTGGAGAAAGCATAACGTGAAGCTTTATGTCTAAATGCACATCTTTGTAGAGATTCCTGGAAGTGTTTAGTAAGAAAGAACTAGCAAGGAAACACACAGAAGATAACTTTTCTTTGACTCGTGTATTTTAGTAACTTTTTTTGTTCCTCACTGTCAGTCACCAGTTTCCTGGCATCACTTTTTTTAATCATCATATGCAAACAATCATTCCTTTAATTTCTAAAACACACAAGAAAAAAATTAAGAATAAAGCATGCAGAAACATACCATATCCTCCAGGGACGTCTTTCATGCTTTGGTTCTCTGAAGCGTTTTACTAAGAAAAAAAAAAAAAAATTGAAGACAATCGGCAACTCCCAAAGCAACAAAAACACAGAAAAGTGAAAGCAAATCATCTAGCAGAAACATTACGTTCTTTGATAAATTAGATCTTACACAACTGCATTTCACTTTATCAATCTCTAAGGACACATTTTTAAAGAAACTGGCTCCCTTCCGTCACCTTTAAGTTCCTACAGATCCATCGTCTGACTGCCAGTATACCTTACATGAAAAATAATCTATTACTAACACCATTTCATTGGCTTTAGCTTTTATGACTGCCCATCCAGAAAATTTAATTTCCAATAGGAAAGCAGGTATTAGAAAAAGACGTTTCTTTTGCTCACTGGAGACCAAAAATCAAATTGGAAAATATTCTCACAATATAGGAGCAATCTACAATATCAGAAATAAATCAAGTGAATTAGTAACAGGACAAATATATTTTCTAACAAAGTATATTTATTTTATGGATGACAAGTAAGACTTTTGTGAGCAAACTGAATTGCAAAAGGAAAGCAGGGCAGTTTTTTTTCAGTCAGATAATCCCTTCACAAAAAGGCTGACGCTTGTTAACATATTAAAACCTCAAAAAATACAGTATTAAAATTAATGCGAACTATACAAAGGCAAAAAAAAAGATACATTTGACTATTTCAATCTTGATACAGTTTATAATACAAATTGTTTGGGCGTCTGATAGAAAGCTCCGCTGCATACCTGCAGAGGGGGAGCCCAAATCACACCCTTCCCAGCTACTCCAAGGTCCATCCCAGGAGCCATCAGCCCATCCCAGGTCCATCCCCACAAGCCCAGAGGAGCAGAAGCCCAAAGGCAGATGGGAGAACACAAATTACAGACTTGGAGGAAGGGATGGTTGTCCCAGGAGATCCTCAGCCCCGCTGGCCAGGGGCGACACCCATCCTGGGGAGCCAGCTCCGGCGCACCGTTGGGAGGGTGCAATGCACCAGGGTACAGGACAGGTATGGTGTGCACGGGAAGAGC